CAGGTGGAAGCTTGGAAAGGATGTCCTTGGGAGGATCAATTGGAAGGTACGAGAAGTGCTCCTTAGACAGGGAGACAATAAGACGAGAGAGTTGGCCGAAGCAATCCAAACTAGAAGTCGGAATATTTATCAGAGCACGTACAATTATAGCGTTATCAACATGTCATCATCATCATAATCAGTCTATAGAGAAAAGAGACAACATAGGAAAGGAGAAAACAAATGATTGTGAGTCGATCTGGTTCATGCAAGAAGGAAAGGGAAGCGAACGAGAGATTCAGACGTATCATCAAGTCAAATGCAAGTATCGGGGAGTTCGAGTCCCATAAGAAATGAGAAGTAAACACAGGGAAACACATTCTCTGAACGAAAGTCGGGTACTAAAACATATTCTCAATGCACTAGGTCACTTACAAAAAAGAATCACCCTTCGTGCTCTTGAGGTCAGTGGCTTCTCCAAGGCTGTGTAGGGTCTTTCTCAACCTATCGCAATCTTTGTCCAAGTTGTCGATTGTGAGGCGCATATTCTCCACCGCGTGTTGAAGCTGCTTCTCCTTGACAGCAACATCCTCCTCTAGTTTCTTGTTCTCACGCTCGAGGTTCTCGATGGTTTCGGTCTTCTCTGCGACTTGCTGCTCGAGAGAAGACTTCTCGTCCGCCCATTGCTGCTGCTGATCGGCAAAGTCCTTCTTCATCTCAGCCACTTCTTCTGCATGACTGTTGTTAAGAGACTCGACTTCGCTAGCATGTGCTTGGTGGGCTGCATCCAGCTCCTGAGCATGTCTTTCACAGGTGTCCTCCAATTCCTTCTGTTTATCGGCGAGCTCGGTGGTCCTAGTCTCCAGTTCCTCTTTGGTGGAGGCCAGCTCAGTCACCTTGGAGTCGAAGTCGGCCTGCAGGGCGTCATGTGCCTCCTGCATCTGCTGCTTCTGGTTCTCATATTCATTCTTCATCGCCTCTTGCTGGTCGAGTAATTCTCGCTCGCGTGCTGCCAGGGCTTCTGCTGCTGCTTTCTCATCCTCCGCCTTAATCTCTTCGAAAAGCTCGGTCAACTCTTGCTTCTGGGTTGCAAGAGCTTCCGCCTTCTCTTCCTTGGCTTTGTCCATGTCTCGCTCATAGGTCTCGTATGCCTCTTTTAGGCTGCTGTCGAGCGACTCAACCTTATCCTCAAGCTCGGCTTTGGATTGGGTGAGCTCCTTGTTGGAGTTTTCAAACTCAAGCAATTTCTCTTCAAGATCCTTCTGCTTCTCATCGAGGTTGCCTAGCTCCATCCGCAGCTCGTTGATCGTGTTCTTGAGCCTAGTGGATTCCTCGGCACTCTCGTTCGCAGTTTTCCGCATCTGATTCTGGAGTGCCTCGATGTAGAAATCCTTGTGCATCAAAGCCTGCTCATGCTGACTCTCCATCTGCTTGAACTCGGCCTCCCGTGCCTGAAGCTTGCCCTTGGTATTTTTGTAGCTCGAGAGCAGTCGGCCGATGTCAGGAATGGCGTCCTGAATTCTTTGAAGGAGCTCGATAGGCTCCTCATGTTCAGGAGGAGAGATTGTGCCTCCCTTCCCATTGAGGCCATGTCCATTGGCAAAGCCCAGGTCGCGCAACATCTGGAATGATGCCGCTGAGCCTGGATCTATGGAGCCTCGAGGTGTGGGGTGGACGTTAGGAGATGGCTGATAATAGGCATACTGGGGCAAGTACCCATTGGCGCTCATCATAGGCGAATGATAGGATGGAGGATAGGGTGGCATGGCCTGCAAGGGCACTCTTTGCCCCATTGGCGGCGGGGCCGACTGAGGAGACATTACGGGCGACATGTGCCCCCGTGCTAGTGGACTGCTGACCTTCGGAACTGGAGATGCGGGTTTGGCGACAGGAGAAATGTGTTTCTGGACAGGAGAGACTGTTTTCGCCACAGGAGAGGCGGTTCTCTGCTCTGGGGACGTCGGTTGCGCCATGGGTGAGGTTGGCTGAAATACTGGGGACTCAGCTGGCGGTGTAGGAAAAGCATCCTGCTGCGCCAGAACAGCAGGCTCCTCTTCTGGCATCATAGTTTCAGCCATCAGTGAGGTATACTGTTGTACAGGCGGAGCCGATTGCGGGACGGGCGAAAGAGCACGTGGTGTCGCAGCAGCACTTTGCGGAGCAGGCGAAACGGATTTGAAGGATGGAGATGCAGCGGGAGGAATCGGTGAAGCTGCTTGAGGGATAGGAGACGCAGGCTTAGAAGCGGGTGGAGTTGTTTGCTTGGGGAGCGAATCGGATTCAGGAATGGGCTGAGCGAGCTCTGCTTCGGAAAAGGGCTCAGACATGACAGGGTTGTGCAAATCGCCAGCAGAATCCGCAGCGTCAGCGTAGGCAGAAGCTGCCACGAACTGATCCTCCGTGTGCGCAGGAGACTCCAAGGGCTCTGCAGATGTTGGGACGAACGTGGGCTCAAGCGGTGTTTGTGGTGCTGTCACTGGGTTCTCCTCCGTGGGCGCTGCAGTGCCACTGGGCTCAACCAGAAATTGACTGTCCTCCTGAGTCCCTTCGGCCTCTACCACGGGGGTTTCCGGCGAGCCTATTGCCTCCCAGGCTGGCTCTTGTGGTTGTTCAGGGTTCTTCTGTACATCGTTCACGTCTGGCTCTTGGCTAGGAGCAAGCTCCGAAATGGCTGGCTGATCAGACCAGCCCTCGTCACTCACTGGGGGCTGAGCTTGAGCCTCGGTTTCAGGAATAGTCGAGTGTTCCTCGACAACAGCTGGTGGTTGCTCCAGTTCCGATTTTTGGGGTGGCACCGACTCTAGTTCCAATGCAGGTTCTGCTATTGTTTCAGAAATAGTTTCTGTCGCTGCTGGTTGCGATTCGATGGCAGCTTCGACTTGCGGTTGTTCTTGCTCGTACTGCTGCTGCTCTTGTTGTTGTTCTGGCTGTGTGTCGTGCTGTACTGGCTGTTGTTCTGAAAGCTCTGGTTGAGGTGTCTCTGATTGTTGGTCTTGCCAGCCTAAGACTTGTGGTTCCTGTTCGTAACTGGGGGTCACCGGTTGAGAGGGTTCCTGCTGTTCGTCTTGCTGTTCTTCGAGAGATAGCTCAGGTTGAGGTGTCTCTTGTTGATTTAGTTGTTCATCTTGCTCGACAGCGGCAGGCTCGGGCTGAGGTGTCTGGGTCCCAGAGGCCTCTTGACTCTTGCCCTTCTTATTCTTTTGTTTGCTATTAGCCTTCTTGCTGTTTTTGCCCATGATTGATAGTAGTGCGTGCCCAAGTTGAAAAGTAAGGCTGACAGACGTGTTCCCAGTAAGCTAGAAACTTGATTCTATCAGTAGAGGCTCGATTGGGTGAACGTGGGTTTAACAATGTACATTTGCAGGCGCGTTCGGCGGTGTCAAGTTATATTCCGGCTCCGTATAGGTACAGAGCGAACGCAAGGAACCGAAATTGGTCAGTCTGGAAGCGTGGGCGATCACACGATCAGACAGAGTTTCTCGGTGGCAAAATGGGTAGGGAGAGAAAAGGATTAGTAAAATAGGAGGAATAAAGAAAGAATTAGAGAATATGCAGGGAGTGGGCACAAATGAGTGCCATACACGAAGGCAAGTGACTGCGTGTCAGATGGCAGCTTCGCCGGCGGGCAGACAACTCGGAATGCCAGGATGGCTTTCCACACGCTGGCTCTTAAAATAGTTGGGATGCTGAGGGCTGGGGACCAAAGAGAAGAGGGACGTGGAGGGAAATTTGGACAGCTAATAACCGGTTCTCAGAGACGCCCAAACCGGGAAAGAATCGCATGGTGAGAGAGAGTCATTTCAACCAGCCTCAAGGGGGCTGGGCAAGGCGTCAAACGGACCGAACCTTAGAGGACGATTGATACCCATCGTCGGTCGTGGATACGGAGGCCAACTAGGCACAGGAGGCAAGCATGCAGACACCTGGGGGGGAGGGGCAAAAGAAAGGAGTCAGAAGGGTGGACCGAAGCATTGGAGATCCGACTTATCCCAGACCCAATCACCTCACGCATTGGGCATCAAAGACGCGATACTCGCGGTGACCGGAAGAATCAGAAGAGGGTGGGGAAAGGAGAAAATAGACTATGAGTAAGAACGAATAGCTATTCCAAGCTCGATAGCCTAAAATGTTCTTCAAACACCGCCGCCGGGGGGAGGAGGTGCAGTTAGGACTGTACTCGAGTAAGATCGTACTGGTTGGGAGGAGTATGTGGGTGGGGTATGGTGTGGGACAACGCTAAGTACAGATCGATGACATGTCCCCCTTGATAACCAGAGGATGCGGGGTCCACATGATTTGGCACAAGATGAAACCCAATTGACATCGCGCTAAGAGTGAGCAGTGGGGAGCGCCATGTTGAAGTGAGGCAGTTAGCCATGCATCAGGGCCATTAGGGCCACCAGCCTGGGGTGCGGTGTAGAGGAGTGTACGGAGTAGACTCGCTCGCTACCTAGTCTAGCCGCTACTGACAAGGAAGCCAGCACAGCGAGCGACCCGCCAGACGTCGGCCCATGCACCCACCATGCACCAGTCAGTCAGTGCACCACCAAACACCGTTCGAGGGGGGTTCAACTCTCAAGGCGAAGGGTTTCCCTGATCCCTCGGAAAGAAGAGGGAGACTAATAGTTGATGCAGGTAAGGCGATGGCCCGAGGGTCCGAGGGTTCACATTTGACCAACATGCAGCTTTTGTTAGGCTGTCAGAGATTGACATGATGCTTTGACAACAAGAAGCAACCTGATGAATTCCCGGGAGTAATTAGTCACTACAGGATGTATGTACAGTGCTCCGTACATGCTGTCCCAAGTTCACCGCAGCCCTGCCTTTACTTACCTTAAGGTACAACAACAGCGCTAATCCCGCTGGGGTTAAGACCCGAGCATGGCAACCCTAAGCCCAATCCAGATATTGTATCACGTGATATCCACCTTGAGCCGTCCTTCTGCGCTTTCAACCTCACCAGCAAGCCCAAGCGACGGCATCGTGATTGTTCGGCGCTGCCAATTATTTTCTTCCACACCATGTTCTTTGCCAGGCGATCGGTAGCTTCGGCGCGGCTACTGCTGCGGAACCAGCAGCCCCATCGATTTGGCTCTCATGCAGCTCACCACGCTGCCCCTGTGAATGAGAGCTTCGGCGTACGTTCCCCTACCTAACGGTTCCCTCCGATTGGGAACGATCAACCCCCCCCATCCGTGTCGCCCGCGATGGCTGCTAGGATCATACGCTGCAAGATCGCATTGTTCCTGCTTCTTCAAATGAGTCAGTTGGGCTAATTCTTGAGATCGACCCATCCCTACAGCGGAGTTTCTACGTCACCGTCGGCACCTTCGCTTCCTGCTACGTTATCCACCGCATCCACAAGGCCACTGAGGAGTCCGGCTCCCAGTCTTGGATCTCCAACCTCATCCAGAAGTGGACTCCCTCGGAGCAGGTCTTTGAGCAGAGAAACGCCATCCGGACGGCGGTAATGGAGAAGGCTGCTCGCGACCGCCACTTGTTCGCCAGTCAGGGCCCTAGCGAAACATATGGATTGATGCAACCCGAGTACGAAACTGCTATAGCCTTCCTATTTTCAGAATCGTGGGCACTAACGTATGCCCTTTGCACTTTTTAGGGTCAGCTTCCACGCCGTTCAGCCTATCAACCTTGTCGCCGGCTACGATGCGGACCTCAGCAAGGTTGTCGCACACTACGAGCGCAAGAACCAGGCCATTGAGGAGGACCGTGTTGCCCGGATGAAGGATGGCAAAGTCGTTTCTCTCTATGAATAGTTAAGCTGAATTGATTTGATTTGTTTGGTCACAAAACTCTGTCGGTAGACCTGGGGAGCACGACACGTTGTACATGTACATATAATAAGACAGAGGTAAAAGGTCTCGATGTCTTTTTTTTCTTCTCTACTCAGCCAAATTCTTGACGAGTCACCCTTGGGGCTGTTCTACAGTGCCATAGAGTGAGTCTTGAACAGCGCAACAGCTACGTAACATATCATGTTCGCTTCCGCGCCCGAGCCAATGAGAGTGCATGTTTATCTAAGCCCAACTATATTCCATCATGGCAACACCAGAACTGCATATCGAGTACTCAATACTCCTATCCAAGCACGATTTCGAGAATTACTCTTCCAACACCTTCAGACTTGATATCTAGTCGCTCTTGCACCCTCAAGTTACCGCCACTGATTCCTCCCACCACAGCAAGGAACTCATCCACCCCACCACCCACGCCGAAGTAGACCTTCTTCGCCGCTATCAAAGCCTGGCTTGTGAATCCTTCCTGCGCAGGCCGACGCAATAAAGCAAGCAACGTTTCCGAAAAGGCCTGCAGCGAGGCAGGAGAGTAGATGGTCTCGCTTGCGAGAATCAACGCATCGCTTCTACTCTGTTCACCGGATGAAAACACCAAGTCCACGAATTCGGGCGACCAAGCGCCGGAGACGAATTCAATAGTAATCCCCCGCCTTTCCAGGTCTTTTTGGAAGCTCGCGACAAGCTCGGGACTAATGTCCAGTAACTCATCCTCAGTGTCCCCGTCTTCGGGCGATAGAGACTCGGCAGAGAGCGGCGTTCCCTGTGCCGAGACGATGTAGCTCCATGTCAGAAGGAGGTTCGGGAAAGTGACGAGACGGAGAACAGCGGAGTTGTAGTCCGCGAATGTGAAGTGGACCCTTCGTTGAGCATTGGGCTCCATTGATAGCAGCTGTGCAAACAGGGCTAAGGATGGCACGGCAGTGCCTGCCCCGAGCTACAAGTCATCGGAGCATTAGTATGAGCTCCTTGAGCCAGTGGGCCGTCCCAAGTGTCTTTGCATCCACTCACCTCGATGAAATGCCGTTTGTCGGCAGTTTCCGTCATCGCACTCGTCGCATTAGCGTCGAGAAGCAATTTCGCAAGGTCCAAGGCACATTCCCACGTTTTAAAGCCTCCCTCGTAGAAGTTGGGCTTGATGTCGCCTTTCTCAAGCCCAGTGATCAGCTCATAGTTGTCTTCCCTGTCTTCGGCAGTATCTTCTGCCATCAGCTGGGTTCGAATGTCGTAAACATCCCGGCGTGCAAGCGTCACTGGCTTCCCTGAGCATCCATGCTGGGAAATAGGGATGGCAAGCTTGTTGTACGAGATTTGTGAGGGAAGCGAGGGAATCTGCAGCACGGTTACACCTAGTCACATCTTGCATGAAGCAGATCCGGGATTTGAGAGCTTGCTTCCGACGAGGACTTACCCACTCTGACATATCATGACGCCTGGCTGGCACCAACTCGGGGAGTGTATCACTAATGCCTTGTCGGAAAGTGAAGCCTTCTTGATTGACATCGCCGGTATCATTTTCGTCAATATCAATATCATCGCCCGCAAAGCCAAAGCTGAATGTGGACGACATGATTGAGGCAATTGAACAGTTTAGCCGCTAGCTTTTCCTTCTACAGCTTTCTTTCACCGCGAACTTGATCGCGCAATAGCAATTTTGAAATGTGCAATGTGCAATGTGCAATGTAACAGTCTCCCAGTTACTTTCGGTCGAAATGAGGTGGGGTATCCTGTAACTTATAGATTGCACTGCTGGCGTACAAATGAGTTTGTGGTTCTTCAGCAACAGCGTGTAAGCTCAGAGAAACAGATTCTTTGAGCTATGGTACATAGAATGGCAGCTTTTACTGTGCTCGAGATGTTAGCAATATTACCACGCGTGGTCGACCTCCAGCCTGACAAGGTCTTGATCCTCTAATTTTTTTTTTGCAGGCCAGGGAAAAAAAAAAGATGACTAATCATTTTGTATGGCCGACGATTTCCATACAAACACAAAAGAACCAGAGTTCTCTTTTCACTCAAGACGAACATTTTTTTGTCGGGAGTTGGTTCAACGAGTATTTTCGAATATTCTATGTGATTGCAATACACTAAATTCAAGTCTTCAATACTACACTTTAATTAGTATTTAGCCCAGAAACAGATATATTCATTATCAACCGTGTATGCTGCGTTCATAATTAATTCACAAGGAGATTCGTAATTCTAACAAGAGCGATGAGTTCTATGCAAGCTCCTCACCATGCACAATGTTCCATGCCTTGCTTCGTCGACTGGGTTCCACCGAGTCTTCAATCGATGGGGTTTGATCTAGCCCTCTAACGGGTCTATCTTCTATTGCAGTAAACAGTTCTCAATCCTCGACGACCATTTAATCAAGCACTGCCGTTCTCAAGGGGGCGGCTAGCAGCCACGGCTTTCTTAAGGGCCTGAAGGACATCAGCCGTTAGATCTTCGGCATCTTCAACACCGCAAGAGATGCGAACGAGGTCATCGTAAACACCGGCGATCTCACGATCGGCCTTGGGAATACCAGCATGGGTCATGGCTGCGGGAACCTCGCAAAGACTCTCAACGCCACCCAAGCTCTCCGCCAGGGTGAAGACCTTAGTGTACTTGCAGAACAAGTGGGCAGCCTGCTCTCCACCCTTGATACGGAAGCTCAGCATACCACCACCCATGCCTTGACGGTGCTGCTTGACAGCGATAGCGCGCTGCGGGTGAGAGTCGATACCGGGGTAATTGACGGAAATGACATGGGGAGAGGCCTCAAGGGCCTTGGCGACGGCCGTGGCATTGGTGGTGGCCTCCCGCGCACGCAAGTGGAGAGTCTTCAGGCCGCGGTGAGCGAGCCAGCAGTCGAAGGGCGACGGAACAGCACCAATGGCGTTCTGAAGGAAAGTAAGACGCTCTTTCAAGCTGTCCGAGTTGAACGCGGCAACACCCATGAGGACATCCTATTCCTAGCGTTAGCTGATAGGTCCTACTGATGGGGAAATCGCCAGGCTTACCGAGTGACCGTTAATGTACTTGGTGACGGAGTGAACCACAATGTCGGCACCATGATCCAGGGGGTTCTGAACATAGGGGCTCATGAAAGTGTTGTCGACGACCACAATGATGTTGTATTTGTGCGCGATGGCAGCAACCTTCTCGATATCGACCAAACCGAGGGTAGGATTGGAAGGGGTCTCGATCCAGACCAGCTTGGTCTCGTTGGGGCGGATCAACTTTTCGACATTCTCCTCAATGCTGGGCGTGAATGTCACCTCAACTCCATGAGCAGATGCGACCTTGGTGAAATAGCGATGGGTACCACCGTAAACATCGGAGACGGAGACAATGTGCGAGCCCGCAGCGAGAGACTGCAGAATCACGGCAGTGGTGGCAGATCCAGAGGAAAAGGCCAGAGCATATTTACCGTGCTCAACGGCAGCGATAGCTTCTTCAAAGTTGTCTCTGGTCAATCGTCAGTGTCCGTCATAGTTTGGGAGGGACCCCAAGCTCACTGACCGGTTTGGGTTCGAACTGCGAGTGTACTCGTAAAGACCGACGGGGGAACCAACGCTGGTTTGTGCGAATGTAGTAGACAGAGAGATCTATTTCTTTTGAATTAGTAGTTGCATGATGACCGAATTTCTGGCGAGGAGAACTGACCGGAGCAATGACAGCGCCAGTGGTAGGATCATGGGGAGCACCAGCATGCACGGCCAAAGTTCCGAAGCCGCGTGCCTGAGAGACGGAATCTCCGTTTTGAGCGACCATTATGACGAAATGGGGTGGTTGAATGCGGAAAGAGGGTTTGAGAGATAAAGGAAACCAGGAGGAGGATTGGCTTCGATTATATAGTATGCTATGCTAGTGAGCCAATTTCACAAAGAGATGATGTGATTTCTCAACGTTGCCGTTTGCGATGGACACAGGACCAACGGGTTGACTTATATAGGAAGTAATAAACTGAATGAAGTTGGAGTGGTTTTTGTGCAGGCTGTAAGCACGAGAATGTAGAAAGACAGACAGATTTGTAATAAGAACAGAACTCCCTCGAAAGAAAGGACTAACTAATATAATTTTTGCCGGAATGCAAATGCGAACCTGCCAAGACTCCCAAGGGCGTAGAAAGGACCAAACTCCCTGCTAAAGAAGAAAAAAAAAATCCAAAGAAGAAAAAAAAATGAACCAAATTCTCCTAGATGGACGAAGATGAGTTTCTTTTACGTTGCCGACTGGAGAGCTTCCGGAAGTCGATAGGACGAAGCGGCGGGCAATTCCCCACTCCGCCTTCCATTCATTCTTCCATCCGTTCCACAATTGGATTATAGTACAAATAACTTTCTCGACTGCCGCCACTAACCGCCCGCTGCCAGTCGGAGATGTCGGACGAGCGTCGGATCTTACCTAGTACTATACTATATTATCCTACTCAGTAATCTATGTACTGATGACTACTGGGTATATACTCAGACATACTCGATACTCAATACACACACTATAGATAGTCTCTCCGTCCTTCACCGCATGCTTATCAGTATCGGTTCAACGCACCGCACGGACTCTTGCTGATTTCCTCCTTATTCTTGCTTTGAGCGGTAATAATCATGATTGGCAAGAAATGACCAAACTATTATTATAATCATCAATAGGAAGGTAGGAAGGTATCTAAACATCGCCAGTAAAAATGAGAGCAGAAGGCACGGTGCTTATGCATGAATAACATCATAAGAACTCATCTTGAAGATCATTCGCCCTCAGACAGAATAGCATAGAAGCAAAACACAGTCGCCATCTCTCCGATATTTACACAAGACGGTCCCAGACCGTAGCAGGCAGGAGAAACAGAGATAGATGGCAGGTTTCAATTCGTCCCGGTGATTTCCAGTCATACATCCCGAATCCGTACATACATGAGGAAGGGGAAAAGAACTCTCTAGAACACCCTAAAAGAAAACCCCTAAACATCGCAGAAA